TCTAGGAAATAATTATGTAGAAATATTTTTGTTCCTCGAAAATGAGTCCAAATCACCGGTGTTTGGCATATACTCAAAATTCTTGAGCATATGCCGCACCAGAGTCTCAAACGTTAGGCAATGCAGCATCATACGACTGAAAAATTCTATGAATTTTTCCACAAAAAAATCAGCCGCTGTATAGACCATGTTTTTTCTGAATCTGCTCTAAAATCATTTTCCGGCGATTTTTCTCGAATCAACGTTGCAAATTCAGGATGCGGCGAATAGCCGGGTGTAAAACGCCGTGTCAATCTGAAAAATAAAAATTTTATTCAACCTCATCGGATAATTTTCATATCACGCATTGAAGTGAGGATACCGTTTTCCCCCTTAGAAATTAAGAAAGACTAGCTTGGTGTTCTAAAAAAAAATATCACGAAGCCGAGCTAATGAAATGCACAAGTGCCTTCAGGGAGTCGGCGAAATGTTTTTGCGACGAATTGAATCTTCCGCTCGACGAGATTTGTTTGCCGCCTGAAAAGCGCGGCGAACTTTCAGAATTAAGTTTCAGCTAGGGGCTTCGCATAGCTCATTACGTCTGTGATGGGTTCCGTCCAGCAGAGTGATTTGCATCTGCTTTAAAAACCCGATGTGAGGCGATTACAAGTTCACTGCAGCTGGATTATTTCACCAGGCGTGAAAGCCGAGTTTGCAGCACTGTGCATATGCATCATTCGAATGACATGCTCTTCTTTCGAAGGCCAGGATGAAGAGACACTCCTTCAGAGGATTTCTCATTATTTAGATGAGATCCAGGTTCTTCTCCTGCAAATTTCTTTAGAACTGCTGAGCCCATTAGTTCGGCGTGAATCTTGTTTGAGAAGAAAGCAAAGCGACCGGCTCTCAGATAGCTGGTGCAGAAACCCGTATTTTTAACTCAGTTTTGCATGAAGTAAAATGGATGGGACAAGTGACGGGTACAAGTACAGCTCTACATTTCGATCAAAAATCCCTATTTTTACTTTCAAAGAAATACTGTACGTCATTCAGCAAACGGTGGGATGACGACAATTTCCAGAAGGTTTTCAAGAATTCAATTTTTGTGCTGAGATTTTCAAAATTACACGAGCCGGAGGATTATTAATCGCGATTTTCAATCCGAAAGTTTCTCAATTTTTAACTCTGGCAGCTTGAAAAAATATGTCAGCGTGTTCTATTC